TTTTTCACAATTGGGTCAACTAAATTAACTAAATCTGCCAAACCAACTTAACAATTTCGATCAGTTTCTGGAATTCATAAAATACAAGTCAACGTGTATATCTCCTTTTGTGGACCCTAGGAAAACATTGATAGACGAAATTGATAAGGTAGTAGCTTGTCTTAAGGGACGAAATGATTGACAAGGGAAGAATATTAAATCCTAAACAGTAAATGTAACCAGCCGGTAAAAAGATCAATGGGCTTACTGAGTTCAATAAATTATGACCAAAACTCCTCCAGTCTTTCTTCATGGAGCTTTCTGTAGATGTATTGCTTGAAGGCCTATAGTAATGCCTATATAATTGACTTGCTATGCATTGAAGAATTTCATTAATGATTGAGTAAAGCCGGTAAGTTAACATGTATGCGGCTTTTCTGTTTGAATCGCACTTCCTCAAATTGTATACTCCAAAGAAGTGTGCGTTTATGTTTTAAAAAGAGTCCTCCAATCTCCGAAGAATTTTGAGCCTGATCTGCCGTTACATTTGCCTTTACGGTTTTCAGTCTAAAAGTCAGGCGCCTTCCGTTGATGGAATGTCATGCATTTCTCTATGTCCCTAAGCAGACGAAAAAAAATAATGCCCGTACAATTTTGCAATGGATGTGGACATAACCGTGTGATTCATACAGGGAATGTATAAACGAGCAGATAACATTCAATTTGAATGGAATTTGTCATTTCTTTAAAAATCTCACCTGTTTAGAATTCTTATAAATGAATAATTGGCTGTGGTTTCTATAAAATATGCTTGAATTTGTACGGGCATCGAACATTTATAGAAGAAATTCAAGCTACTTAAGTAGTCTTTTTTATCGGATAGGCTGCTTACAGAAGGTCTATAAGACTTTTGTTTAAAAGCCGGCATCGTGATGTGTCTGAACTATCTTGAAATTATATTCCAAGATGATAAATATTCCAACTTTATGTACGTAAACATTCCCAATCTAAAACTCGTTTTAAAAATTTGGTAAGCCCTGCATGGGCTTGGTACCTAACTATACATTCGAAGAGGTATAACCCCGTCTCCCAAAGCGGAGTACTTTTAAAAGCTATTGGAACCAAGACTAACTGCTGACGGAAAACTGTCGAGAAAACCGACGTAACTTTTTAAACCATTTTCTCGGAGTACTTGCCTGGGGGTATTTCATACATCAATTCGATAAAACAACAGAAATCATGGAAAAACAGGAAACTCCCAAGATATTTCCAAGTTGACAACCCGATAATCCCCTTTTATACATTACGAAGGCGGCTGACCTCAGTGAAGGAGACGGCAGAAGGGCCTGGATACAAGTTGTGCCCAACCTAAGAATTACATTACGCTCTCCGCTTGTACCTCCAACAGATAGGCTTGAGTATATTGACATGAAAAAAGTCCGCGATATACCTAATGGTGTCCGCAAGGTAGTATAGTATTTCAAAAGTACGATCTTGAAATCGAATTTTCGACACCACTCGATGTGGATAGAAAACGTTTTCGAAACTAGAAGGCTCAGTGCCTGTATGAGAAACGAAACAAATAGGAGTATGGCGTGTTTACTGTGGACTTAAATCCTACACTTGCTCCACCTCTTTTGGAGAAGAATATCCGGTTCTGTCTGATGGAGTGTGAGAAAAACAAGCATATGCTGTTTTTCCAGCGGATGATCCTGACTCGCGGACAAAGTGATAATGCATTTGCTCGGTATTCCCAGTCGTATCCTCCGACCTTACTGCAGGTTATGTAAACTGCCCCACTTCTCTGATTACTCATCCTTATCCTATTGTAGCCGCATAACTTTTTTCTTCTAGCTGACATAGTTCGTGTTCACAAAATCGACATAGAGCTGTTAAGTATTTTTATGCTACTTCTTTTCTAAATTATTATGTAAGCTGTCGTTTAGAACTGCTGGCCATTTTACTTGGGTGTTGTCTTGGGTTAGGTGAGGCTAACTGTTGGTGTATCCACATATCTACGTGCAAATACTGTGCCCATACGTTGACCCGATTTATTTTGAGGTTACGTCCGGAACGTTCTGAGCGCAATATACGGAATTATCAGCGCCGACGATGCCCTCTACAATCGTCACGTATGAATTTTCCCAGGATCTGTTGGGCATATTTCGATTGTACAGGTCGGACTGTACCTGCCTACACATCAAGTCAGGTCCCATAATTTCCGAGTTATTTACTGAAAGCAGTTAATTGCTATGCCTGTGCGAAGACTCGGTTGACGGAAGGCCACCATACCCTTATCCTTTTCAAGGTTTTTATCGCCCGACACATTAAGGTATTCACACTTTCATCCTTTTACAGAGCAAGAATCTCAGTTCCGCACTAGATACATCTGGTACGCGTCATCAGGCTTGCTGTAAATCACCGGTGCTCCTGGAAATTGCGCAGCCCCGCCCGAAGTCGTTCTTCCGAGATCAGGAGGTGTCTTTTGAAGAGTCAGCCGAGGGTCTTGGCAGCTACCTGGTGTGTTTAATCAACTTTTGACATGGTCATAATCATAGTTTATCCCATTTTTTACACTTCTCTTCCAACCTAACACTTTTGCTTATTTGCGCGCCTACTAAGTGTTAGAACACCTGTTGAATGTTCTTCGCGATGTAGCCTATGCTTTCACGACGGCCTTCATTGTTCTTATGGGGATTTCGTTTATCGTAAAGAGGAGTTTACTTGGGTTGGGAAGGCTCGTTGGAAAATATAGGTGTATACACATTATACGGGCTGAAGCTCATGAAAAATGCCGAAATTTGCGAAAGATTGGTAATCACTCGCAAACCGGTATTAACCCATGTAGAAAAAATTTGGAATAATAATGTACAACTTAGGCGAATGTGTAAGTTAAAAATAAATATAAAAAGTTCTAGTCGTTTTTTTAAATCAAAGTTTTTTTAGGCATAGTCAAGTTCTACAGACGTGAAACACTGACTATAAATCAGACCAACTGGAATATATTTTCCAGCTCTGGAATGGATGCACTTTAAACATTTCTTGCTTATATTAGTAATGTCCTATAAAGAAACGTGTAAAATAAAAGGTCTGATCCTGTCATACCAAAAAAGCATAGGAAATTTGTCCCATATCCGGTAACCTCCGAGTTC